ATGGCAATTTTAGCAATGAAGGTTAAACAGGATGTGAACTTGTACTTTCCATCTACTAGTCGGGTGTTGCTACCAACTGAGCTTTGAAGCCACACCTTGGGAGTAAGGCAAATTTTAGAGGTTTTTTCTTTCCCGTTGAGGAATTTGATTTATCGTGAAGCCAATTTCATTTAATACTACCCCCCCAGGGTATACTTAATTCATACCTGATTTCCTGGTACCACCCCTCCCCAGAAGGCAACATCTGTCCAACACTTGTCCCTAGCACTGTCAAGTTTGGTGTAAAATCCATCCAGGGTGGTGGTGGGTGGAATTGAATTTCTTTTTGATACAAAAAACACATTGAATTATCATGAAAAGTGAATATTTGAACATTTTAACAGACATTCTCTCTCACTTCCTGAAATCTGTTGGTAACAAAAGGATTCTAAAGTCTGAGTTGTGCAAACATCAATCTGTGAGGGAGACATATCTCTCTCACTTCCTGAAATCTGTTGGTAACAAAAGGATTCTAAAGTCTGAGTTGTGCAAACATCAATCTGTGAGGGAGACATATCTCTCTCACTTCCTGAAATCTGTTGGTAACAAAAGGATTCTAAAGTCTGAGTTGTGCAAACATCAATCTGTGAGGGAGACATGTTGCTACTATGATCAGTAAGAGTGTTGAATATTGGGATGAACAGGGGACAGGTTCAGGCCGTCGCTTCATTATTGTGTTGTGTTCTTAACTATTCTTTCACTCCCAAGATATTACTAGTAATTCTCCTTAGTGTCTGCTATATAGTTTCTTATGATCTTAATTTGAAAAATCTGGTATTGGATTGACTCTTAATCTCCTAATTCACTTTTTTCTTAATTCTCATCACTTGTCTGCTTGATATTGTATTTGATAAAGTAAGGAGAAATCCTGTCTTGGTCACTCATGGGAGTTGAAGGATTATAAGCAAGAGCCACTTGCCTTAACTTGCAGAACCTTTTCCCAACTAGAAGCCCAATAAATGTACTTAATAAAGTGCAGGGGAACCTCATAAAGCTTTTAGAAGAATAGAGAGGAAGGGAAATTTCTTACGACATCCAAATATATCTTTGGAGCTGATAAATTTCTTAATTAACTGTATTTGGCTGTTTATTTACCCTTAGACTCCCAGAAGTGATCAACATGTAACTTCTCCTTGTAGCATCCATACATTAACCAATAAACAGGTAATGAGAATACTCAAACTTATCAAGTAGAAGTTGTTATCTTGATCTAACTCCATATTCTTGTAACTAATTTACAAGGAAGAGTGTAGCAGCTAAAGAGGAGAATCAACAATCAGATCTGGGGAGTTAAACGGCTTACCTTGATGGAAAGTTGAAGGAGAATTTTGGTAAACTCCTGGAATTGAAAGAGTTAGTACTTACAGTGGCATGTCTACAATGGTAGTGATTCCACCAGACACTGCAGCTTGTGTTGCTGTGGCAAACCCTTCCCAGTCTGTTCTTCCTGGTTCATTGACATGGACATGACTATCAACGACTCCTGACATCACCACCAGTTCACCTGCATCTATGACCTGTTTAACAAATGGTAAACACCACAGTGTACACTATTGAGTTATGGATGCACGCAGGAGGTTGCTAAGCACGAAAGAAGCGAAAGAGTCATGTGAGGTGATAGCCGAGAGCGACTCTAGCTTCTTGAGTGCTTAGCAAACCTCCCAAGTGCATCCATAACTAAATAGTGTACACTGTGGCGTTTACCATTTGTTTTATAAGATAACATTGATACACTGTAGCAAGAGTTTCCTTTTATTTAACAAATCTTACGTGACCAGAAAAAACAAGTGTGCGCGGAGAACTAGTCTTTGCATTTTGCTCACGTCAGCAGTGTACACCCATGGGCAACTGGGGGATGCTGAATTGACCAATCAGAGCGCGAGCTTTACTTTGGTTATGTTATAAAAAGAGTTGTTATCTTGTATGCTGAAAGACATTCTGACTGCGCCAAATTTGTGTTAAGATTGAGAGGTGAAGAGCTTTACCAGAAAAATTAGGAGACTTGGTTTGTCCCTTCAGTATGCTCACTTGACACTGGAGATCATAGCATTCTCTACTTTACTTGCAGAATTCTTGAACTAAATTTGATGGCCTACGAATTTCAATCTGGCCATCATATCCTCATAACATGATTGGCTTGGTCAGCTCAGTTAGGAATAAGGATGCGGTGTTGCTAACGAGAACGATATCCCACCTAGAAAGTGATATTCCAGAAGGCATGGGTGGATACAGGATTTTCCTTAGGAGGGGGTGCTTCACTAAGGAATGAAGTAAGTGGTGTCTACTCTGACGAACAGGCTAATGCTTCAAATGTCAGTGCCAAACTACCATTTTTACAGTGTTTAACATGGATTCTTCAAACTTGTCCCATGTTTACTTAAACATCAATAACCACACACTTTTTTCTCTTTCTTTACTTTTACACTAGTTTATAAGAAAGGTCCAGGTCATCTCACCTGAGGGGGGTGCTTCCCCTTGCACCCCTCCAGGGCTTAACACTAACGGTAACCCACTAGCCACAGACTAGATGAAATTCAGTATTGGCCAGTATTGGGTTTTTGATTTGCACTTGCCAGTTTGGCTAGTAAACAAACTGAAACAGTTGTAACATCTAAGATGTCACTGCTAGTAAATTGGAAAGTCAGTGTCGAGCCCTGTCACTCTCCTAACCCTGACCCTGTAAGCATACACAGTTAATACTGGTTCCACAGAACAGAGGTATTGTCAAAAAGGGTACGGGGTAACACTGTCATTTTATGTCCTAACTGACCACTTACTGTACTAAAAACCCACTCAAAAATACTACTAACATTGATTTCAGGAGATAAACATGGAAAGATTTTTCTTAGTTTTATTTGTGTGGTTGCACATCAAGTGACTGCTCAATGTATGTGAGAGACAATACAAACATGCTGTTGGTACTCATTGACGGGTGACCGTGACTGCTCAGTGAAGGTGAAAAATTTCAGTTATTAAGGGGACTTTGAAAACCGACTACTTAATACGGTGCCTCTTAACAATAATGAATGAAGGGGTTTAATTTCTAAAGAAATTGTGGTGTTGCGTCAGTGAGGGCAACAAGGTAATTTGGTTTTATCAACTGAGTTGATAATTTGTAAATTGGCCATTGTAAATGGTTTCAAAGCTGACATTTCGAGCGTTAGCCCTTCGTCAGAGCGAATGGGCTTTACCGTCACGACATAAACAGCCCAGGCGTCTTGAACCAAAGCGATCATCAGTTTCCTCACTCGAATAATTACATATTATTAAGTAGTATTAGGTCTGCAACCCAAGAAATTCAACATGCAGCGACTCTTCAAGCAATACGAGTCACTTTGTTTGACAGCGAGAAATTTAAGGATCTTTGACTACTTGAAATTTTGGAGACTCGCTTTCCTAGCACATAAAACACCACGCATAATCAAAGGAGCAATTAATTTCGCCTACATCAACACATCATGAGTGGCTTTGTCAGCTCAAATAGGGTAAAGGGTCTCGTGTTGCAAACCTACCCTTAAAATGGAACATAGTATAGTTCCCGTTCGAAAGAAAGGCCTCCTTAGGTACATTTCGCAGTAAAAATGGGCACGTTTTGGGACTTTTAGTTTATGAGTTAGGCATAGAATCTCGTGTAACACTTGATAATTGACCGGCAAAAATGTTTTGGTGGCGACATGACCCGTAATGGCGTGACATTGTCGCGCTTTTCTCAGGCCTCATTCAAATGAACCGTACTTACCTTCGCTTGTGATGGTAAGTGACTGGTGGCTAGTCCTTTCTCTATTTCAACGATTTTCCCCCTGTCTATGATTATGCTTCCCGAAGTAACACAATCTGGAAGCAATATTCTCTTGCCTTTAATGACCAGGGGAGCTGCTCCATCCGCCATTTCAAGAAATTTAGTATGGTTTGCCACCCTGTGTTGTCACAGACAACCCAAGCGTTGTCACAGACAACCCAAGCGTACTGTGTAAGAGTCGCTCGAGGCGATAGCTGAGAGCGACTCTAGCTTCTTGAGTGCGCATGTTCAGATAGAAGGTTTGGAGCTAGATTAAATAACAAAAAATGGCTGGTTCAACACACGCATATGAAGATCCCGCGTAGCAACACCTGAGGCGCCCGGATGATAAAATTAACACCCAACCATCCATAACCATACCTTGTTCGGTGACAAAAGAGAGTGTTCCGCCACTAATCTCCCTTCTTTTGTCATTCCTACTGGATCAGCGGATCATGAAGAAAGCATATCTAAAATGGGAGGGCGGGGAGGGTGGGGAGGGCTGAAAATGAAGGTACAAGCTTCAGACAACAAGGCAGGGGGAAGGGGGCATGCTAAGAAGGACAAGTTTTTTTTCCAAAAAAGTGGAGGGTTGGGGGATTAAACCCTTCAAAAATTTCCTAGCGGTCTCTGAGGTAACAGACGTAGCTTATTCATTTTCTTAAAAATCTTTCTTTCATACAACCATTGATGTCTGTCCCGTTCAACTCGATAAAATAGGGGGAGGGGAAGTTATCTGCAATGAGAGGCAAAGGTGGTTGGCGCGCCACCCGTCACTTGGTGGTCCACAACCCCTCTTCCCCTACCCCTCCACCCAGAATAATAAACAGAAATCTTGTAACTCGTCTCGCATAAGTTACTTGAAAGTCCTCCCTCTTCAACCCCCAAATAATGTTGCCTGAAATTGGTGAATATTTTGTCAACAGCAACTAACATAGAAATGAGGAAGATAAATCAGAACGTTCTAGGAAAAAAATTAAAGTGTGCTAAGACTTTTGCCACTCATTGTAGTAAGGCATTACTGCCTGTTCAATGTTAGTTCAAGTTTTTGCGGCAGTGCTGCTGATCCCATTTTTCCACTCCCTCTGCACTGCGCATCTCACAGACTCAATAAAACTGAAATTAGTGTCATCAAACAAAAATTGAGATTGATCTGCTCCATTTAGTTACCAAATGGCTAAAGCCTTGTTTATTTGTATCGATCCAACCGCATGCTAAGTATGCTTACAAACTCAATTTTTTTTCTCTGATCATAATTGTTTGCTCTGTTGTTCCTTATGCGGCAATAGTAGTCGTAATACAGTAAATGACTACTTTCAGTTGCACTTGTGATGTGCTAGAATTAAATTTCTATTATTGTTTTCTTTTCATTTCTCGCTAGACAGTGACATTTTCCAGCCTGTAAGCTTTGTGGAACAAATCCCGAATTTTCTACTCTTGCAGGGTTCCGTAATGTTTGCTATCGACCTCTCGATTTATCTTCAGCCTTGTAGAATGTTTCTCATCTTCAAAGTCAGGAACAGACCTATCGCCATCAGACCGAGCCTCGAGATCTGACATTGCTATCCTCTCTCTGTTTTTCCCTCTTCTCCTACTGGATTTGCGATCATCCTTACTAGCGGTTTCTCTCTGTTGCGTACGAGCGTTGTTGCTCTCGGCCGAGTCCCCTTGCGCTGAGAAGAGTTGTAGGATCTTCGTGTGGAGACCAGTCTTTTTCAGCTGAGCCATGAGGCTCTGCGCGCAGAGGTTGATGGTTATGGAGACGATCGACAATCCGATGTAGAGGAGCATCAGGTTTATCCAGATACCCTGAAATATCAATGCAAGCTGTTCGGGACGTTGAGGAGAGAAGAAAACAAAATCATGCAATTACCGTCATGCACATGCCATTTTTTACACTAAACTGACTACTTACGTGACAAGACAAGCAAACAAACAGAACTGAACTAACTAAGCTTTCTTCTTTCCTCAGTGTCAAACAAAAGGAATGTAAGAGAGAAATCGTGACACGATTTTATGAACAACATTAATGACAGGTATGTCACATGAACATGCAGATGCACGTGATGTGCTTGTGATGTGCTCGTGCTTGAGCACGTGCAGGTGCAAGTGCAGAGAAGTATTCAGCGTTACTCTTTTTTATTCCTCAGATGGTGACGACTAAGAGAATTAATACAAAAAAAGTTGGCCCAGTGAGCTTCATCTCTACGGTAACTCAAAGGTTAATCCGAAATTAAGCCTCAGAAAGCAAATAGACCACTTTCATAAATGGCTGCCGTATAGATATTCTTTTGTTTAAATTTAAATTAGCCCTTCTGGCCTCGCTTGAGATAATGTATTCTTTTGTGCTTTTGTGCTTGTGATGCGCTTGAGATAATGTATTCTTTTGAATTTTGTACTGGAGAACGAGGCCATTAGGGCTAAATTAAATTTAAACAAAAGAATATTAATCCGGCAGCCATTTATGAAAGTGGTCTATAGCAAGGACCCTTTGATAGAATACTTTGTGCGCGTGTTAAAAAGGAAATTCATTTAGAGTGCATGTAATATGGAAAACATCCAAAGCATGGATATCATCGCATAGGGAAGAACATTTCGATCGTGTTGGGAGGCTACGTGCTCAGGGGTTGTGCACATGAAGAGTGAGCGTGTGGCGAACCACGCTTATACCTGGTCCACTGTAAGAAACGCTCCTGCTTTTTCTAAGAAGAGATAGTTAAGTGGTAAAGTTAGTGCCAGTTTTGAAATGTTATAATCACATATTGCATCAGCGACACTACGGTGTCATTATGCTGTAAGTTACTGTGGTGTGATAGCTAATAGAACAAGTAATGGTAGGTGTTGGTGAATTGTCCAAGTGATGGCTTTAATTGATGGACTTTCATTTCATGGTAGAAAGCTTACGAGATGGAAAGTGAGTAAAACTATTGGACAGGGCAGTGAAAGGAGAGAGATAAACACGGTACAAACATGTTATCAATTAGATATCCAGAACTACCTCAAGTATTGAAAACAGTCCTGATCAGTATGCTTTCAACTTTAATCAGGCGTTCAGTTCATAAAATGGAGCGAAATAGTAAGCGGTACGATAATAGCAGCAGAGTGAGCACGGGGGAAGGTTTTCATTAGGCGACTCGACCCAAGCCTCTCTCGATTATCTTTCCTCCAGTACTCCCCGCCGTTTACTATCGCGCTTTATTTTACTCAATGAAAGCCTGGAACAGGATGATATGAAAAATGCTTTGCATCCAAGTAGGAGAGGACGTAGACAGTATGTTAGTGGCGTAAAGCTTGATAAGATATCGATAACGTACAAAAGGAAAACGAAGAGAAAGACCTCCGAAAATGAACGTTATGTTTCAATCAATTCGAAGCTTCAACGTCTCCCGCAAGGTAGCCCCCCGGGCATTCAAACTTTTGAAGATTGATCCGTTCAAATTCCTGCCCCCTCCCACCCCAGGCTAAAATTGTGTTCAAATGGCCTACCCAATTTTGAACGATTCTTTGATGATCCACGAATGTTGTAAAATTTAGCAAAGTCACGTATCACTTTTTGGTCCTGCTGCCGAAGGTTTTTCTCTTGTAAGCATTATTTTACGACGTGAAAATTGTCTTTCTAATCCATTCTCTGGCGAAAGCATACTCTTTACCTTTTTATCTCCATTCAAACACATGTGTCACGCTTGAAAGACTTGACACTTCTGGTTCAAATACCTCACCCTACTCAGGAAATGTTCAAATTCCCTAACCCCCGAGCGCGAACAACGGTTAAATGCCCGTGGGTTGCCCGGGGGGGGGGAATGTTTAAACTTCGAATTGATCGGTGCATAAAAAATGTTTTATTTTAAAACAGATGTAGGTTAGGTGAAGAAAGATGGAAAAGAAAAATCGTATTAGATGTATCAGCAACGGACTGGCAAAAGAGTTTTCTCAGAATAATAATGATGACAATGATGATGATAAACACGATGATAATATTAATAATAATAATAATAATAATAGTAACTATAATTAAATAACTATGGTAATAATAACATTGCAATAATACTAATAATGCTATTACAATGATACAGAAATGTAAAACAAATTTGAAAATTTACATGTAGAGCTTAATGCAACGAGAACTTGAGGTGGTGCGCTACGCCAGCCAAATTTTCCTCAGATTTGTACTCTGTCACGACAGACATTGCATGACAAGTTAGCGTGAAATCGGCTTGCGTGACAGGCCCTCTAATCGGAACCAATTAGGGGATACTTACCGCTTGGGATCGAGGCACAATATCTCCAAATCCAATGGTCGTAAACGTAATGAAAATGAAATACAGCGCCGTTCCAAAGTCCCATCCCTCCAGAGCGCAATACATCGAAGACATGATCGCTAAAAATACGAAAATGATTGGTAGTGCAATCCAGACAGGTGCGTTGATCTGTGTATCTGCAGACTCGAACTCATAGTTACTATGGTATGCACGAATGCGGTTTACTAGCCAGGCACATGCGTTGTTTAGATAGTGTACGATGTGATTTCCCACCACGGCTAACAGCATTAGGGTCAGCGGTATTCCAATGAGAGCGTACACAATACAGAACATGCGACCGCCCAATGAGGTGGGGGCCAGGTTACCATAGCCTAAAACAAAGTTACGGGTACAATAAAAGAACCTCATTAGCGGACGATTCGAAGGGGGGTCTTGAAACCCCTTGGCACAGCTGCTTTTTCTGTGCCATAACTCTTTTTAGGCGTCCACTAAATGTTAACTATCAGCTCGGCAAGCTATTGGTACAAATTACTTTTTGAATAATTGCACATGTCGACTTAGTCTCGTACCCAGGCATTTCACGGCCAAGCTGTTGTTGTTACAGTTTGGTTCAATCAACTAAGTTGAAATTGTAAATTGGCCACCGTAACGAGTTAAAAAGCTATCGTTTCGAGCTTTAGGGCTAAAGCTCGAAAGTCAGCTTTTTAACTCTTTACGGTGACCAATTTACAATTTCAACTTAGTTGATTAAACCAAATTACCTTGTTACCCTCACCGACGCAACACCAAAGTTTCTTTAGAAACTTTTACCCTTTATACATTTGTTTTTACAGTTGTACGGTGGATCTGGTTACAAGGTTAATGTCGACTGGCACCTCAAAAATTTAGCCGAAAGTTTTTTTTCTTAAGATTGTTGTTCAGAATTCGTTTTTAATCTTCTCCATCATAAGCCATCCTTGTTCCTGCTCGGGTTATTAGTGCCTCTTTTATGTTTTTCTACCTCATCGAACTGTGTATTTTGTCCCCACTTTCAAATTGTATGTAGTCTGACACGACGCAAAACTTTTATTTAGTTAGAATATCGTGACGTACGTGGACGCCCGTTTATCATAACTTTAAGCAACTAGGAATATTTTTACTTCTCTTGGATGGGTGGCCGGTCCACCGGGTAGGTTATTCTCGGCAATTCGTCGTGTTTTCTAAAAAAATACCTGGTATTCTCCCTGTAATTCAGGATAAAAAAAAGGGATGGATGGTTAAGTGCCTTGCATGCCAAGAAAAGACTCGAACCCAATCCGCTTGATCGCGAGTCCAAGCTTCCAACCTTCAAAACCCTTATTTTATAATTGCCTTGCGTGCTTAAGCGAAGGGTTCCTGCGGGAGGAAGTGCGTGCCTTGTGGCCAGCACGAAAACTCTCCAGAACAAATGGGCTATTCTGTTATCAGTATGATAACATTGGCTTTATTATAGAAAATATCTTATTTGTGGATAAAATCGATAAAAATGATGCTAAAGCAGGATGTCGATTAAATGTTAATGAGCCTTACGAGCAAAACTAATTTTGAGGATATATACTTTTTTGTTACTGACATAGTTATTGTCGAGAACCACGCAAGTTGTAGGGAAGTTTAAAAAACAAATTTTCGAGGGAAATATTTTTAATCATGTAAAGAGTCCTGCAGAGTTGTTGAGGAGATTTCTAAATATCTCAAGAGGTGTTTAATTTTTATTCATCCGGCCATGACTGATAACACGGGTAAATTATTTCTCTCATTTTGAAGTGTTAGTTTTTATCATCACATTGAGGTTGTATCTTCGATTTTGTGCGAGAAGAGAGATATTTGCATGTTAGCGTCAACCTTAATTACTTAACGGCAGCACTTGCTTGAAATACTCTAATGTCAATAAAATTAGTTTTACTCAGAAAGAAAATTAAAATCAACGGAGATCAAGTTGCTACCATCGGAATGTTTTCTTGCTTGCCCTAAAGAAATGTTTCTTGAGCAATTAAGTTGCGTCCGCGAAAATAACTAAGCAGTTGAAATAAAATTATGAGGTAAGCCTTACCGATTGTGGTGACTACAGTTGTAGCGAAGAAGAGCGAATTCGAAAAACTCCAGCGCGGTCTAGAAGCAATAATCCTTTCGTCTCGAATTTTCTCAAATCTATCGTTGAGATTCCTCAATGAGTCTTTTTGTAAGCCTTTAACAACTTTGTTACTGTCAAAATCCGGCGGTAGCATTCTCTTCCCGAGTGATGTTTCCTTCAAAGTTTGCAAAAACAAGCTCGCATCGTCTGTGGTTGTGTATTTTGTTTTCGGTTCGTACTCTATAGATTCAAAGATGAGCCCCCCCAGGTAAAGATAAACTAAATTGGCCAAAAACAGAACTAAAGGGACCAAGTTTTTTCGTTGAGTTGGTGTTAGCTCCATAACTGAGATGTAAAAGGTCCGTCCAATATGATTTTTTCCTTGCCAGATACGCTGAAGACTTGGTCTTGATGCTTTGTTATCCAGCTTCAAAAACGCGAAGGCTTCACTGTGTTATTCTGTTCAATTATTTATCGTCGACTGCGATTGTTTTGATTATTGCTTTGATTGGATAGTCAAGTCCGTGTGTTTTCACCAAGACATATTTTTCAGTATCTAATTCGTCAGGAAAAACAACTTCAACACAAACAGCGACGATTGCGAAGGTATTTTAATTTCTACCAGAAAGGAAACTTCTAGAGTGTACACTGAAATAACTGAGTCATTATCTGACGTTCGAAATTTTTTTTGTGTGTTAATTTCTGTCTGATACAAATCATAGCCCTTTATGAACCTTGCCAACGCCTAAGTAACTAATTTAGATTAAATTCTGTGGTTAACATTTTGTTTAGCAATTTTTGAATCAATTTCTTAGGCCCGTATAGCCGAAACGTCGGGATAAAAGTTTCGACGTGACGGAAATATTGCTCCGAGGTAAAAAAAAACTAAAACGCCAAAGAGTGTAAGTTTCATTAGTGAAAGGAGAACATCGTGAAAGTAACCAACATAATCCTTGCCATGGCCAGGATTTTCTGAGACACCTCGCCCTCCTTTTTGGTTGATTTTTCAATCACTCCGTCCATTTTTCTCGTCGCCAAAATTGAAAATGAGGTGGAGGGGGATTGTTCAACAGTTGTGGACGAGGATTGCATTTTATTACAGTCAACAGCCGGTTATTTGTCAAGTTTTCCGGACAGTTTTCCGGTAAGAAATTAAACTGTGCAAGTAAGTAAATGTCTTGCCTGGGAACGCGACTCGAAAACTCCAAGAACGCACCAGACTAGATCTCGAGCTTCATGATCCCGATTGCAGCAGCTAGAAGGCTCACCCATCACCCGGTTCGGTCAGTGTTTGGTCAACTTATCTGCAACACTTTCTTCTTACTAGCACTGAGGCTCCTTCCCTCCTAGCTCGTCCCACTATGTATCTATGCGCGACATGCCACGATATTAGCTGTTACATTTGTTCAAGGCACTTTTCATATTCACTCAAAAGATCTTAAGTCTTTTAAAAGGGTCGTGACTAAAATGGATGCTTAAAAATCAGGATTCCGAGTAAGAACTGGAACTGAATAAATTCCTTACTCTCATAACTTCAGTAGGGAGTACAGAGAAGTGCGTTGTGTGACAAGAGCCGTTTAGAATAATTGTCTCCTATCTCCTCTGGAGTTATTTATTTATTTATTTATTTATTTTTTTTTAAGAATGTGATGCTGCTTAGTGTGATGTCCTTCTTACCTCTGCTGCTAATATTTTAATATTTTAGGTGAAATACGGTCATCGAGCCGCTATGCAATTTAAGGAAACTAAATTTTTTCTACATAGTTCGTTGTTGAGTCTGTAATTTATGATGTCAACTGTGCTCAGTTTTTTTTGCGAAGCATAAAGTTTTATTATTAGTACTAATAGCCTTTCAGAGGCTTTGTTTGATTGTTTAAAAAATATATCTCTAGCTATAGCTTTATAAGTTAACTCATTGTCATTGCAATTTGTGTGTATTCTTTGTGTGTCTGCTTGTGTATGAACCTGAATAAATTGAATTAAAATTTGCAATATTTTAACCCTCCTCGCTAAGCCTAGGTGCTTATTGGGAAAACAACGGAAGATATGTTTCAATAAATAAAAGATGTAATTAGAAATATGTCAGAAATATGGGCTCTATATATTGGACTCGATCAGGTATAGATCTCTTGATCATTTACAAGACCCTGAGTACGAAGTTCTTTGGGCGTGGTTAAGACCAAAAAGACTCCCGTGCGGGACACCCTGCGTTATCACGGCCACGATATACCATCCGTTCGTAACGACAGCGCCAGAGACACTGTTTGTTAGACTATCTATCAGCATCCTTGACTGCTGTTGAGGGAAAATTCCCAGGTTGCGGGATTCTACTCTGCGTTTATTTCAATCGGCTAAAGTTGAATCGTTTAGCTGCACAATTCGGACTGCGGCAATTGGTCAACAAGCCCACTAGGGGTGATCAGATACTGGACTTGGTCTTCACCAACCAACCAGATTTGTACGATATAAATTCCGTTCAGATTTTACCGCCGTTTGGTTTATCGGATCACAATGTCGTCTTCGTGCACCCAACAACTCGTGCTCCAAGGGAAGGCCCAAGTAGAAGAACCCTTTCCAAGCAGGACACTCGGGCCAGTCGCACGTCCGAGCTTGGGCGTTTCCTCGCGTCTATCGACTGGTCAGTGGCTAGCGAAGCATCCAACTGCGAGGCTAAATTGGCGCTGTTTACGGATTTCATCAGAATTGGTCTCGACCACTCAATGCCGGTTATACATGTCAGACTTCACCTGAATGACCCCCCGTGGGTTACTGAGCGGTTCAAGAACCTCATTAAGCTCCGTCAACACGCCTTCCACAATGGAGACATGGATCAATACCGGCGATATCGAAATGACGTAAACCGCACGCGTAAGTCACTTCGCAGTAAATACTATGCAAGTGAATAATTTAAAGAACATCAAGCCCTTGCAGTGGTGGAGCGCAGTTAAACGAATCGCCGGTATGAATCCTGCGTCATCTTCTGAAAGTCTCCTTTCCAACCTTCAGCTCGGGGACAGTTTTGATCGCCTAAGTGACGTTGAACTAGCTAACGCCATCAACGCTGTGTTATTAGAACCCATGAAGCATTACCAACCCCTATACGTTGTCCCTACTGTAGTGGAGGACTCCGATATGCCTTTAATTACGGAATTTTATGTCCTACACGCTCTAACCAATCTAAACCCGAGGAAGGCAGTTGGACCTGACCACATCGGTAATTGGCTTTTGAGGGAATATGCAGTGATTCTCGCACAGCCTATTACATCTATACTGACCGCGAGCTTTAGAGAACAAAGGCTTCCCGCCTCTTGGAAGCTTGCGGACGTGGTGCCTCTCTCTAAGCAAAAACCCGTGGTGGATGCTACTAAGCACCTGCGTCCTATCTCCTTGACGCCCGCTATCTCTAAGGTTGCCGAAGATTTTGTGGTACTCAGATACGTCAGTCCAGCGGTGTTGCAGATCATAGACCCAAACCAATATGGCGGTATTCCAAGATTCTCCACCTTGTACGCTCTGATTTCCATGGTACATAACTGGTCGCAAGCCACTGACGCCACAGGCGCAGCTGTTAGAGTGGTATTTTTCGACTATCGTAAGGCTTTTGATCTTATTGATCACAATTTGCTGGCCAGAAAGATCGAAGCCTTGGACATGCCACGGTGGGTTCGCGTCTGGGTGCTGGATTTTCTGTCAGACAGGAAACAACGTGTCAGGTTGTCATCAGACTGCAGGTCAGAGTGGGGCTCAGTCCCCGCCGGGGTACCACAGGGGACCAAGCTTGGTCCCTGGTTGTTCTTATTAATGATCAACGATCTTGAGGTCGACGCGCTCACTT